TTACTGCAGAGAGGTATTGGGACCCCCTAAGTGAAGCCAAATTGTCTAGCAAATTGTACAGGACAATAGGGCTCAGCAATGCATTTGTAAGCTCTGGGGTTCATAGTTCCAATGAATAATTCTCTGGAGATTAAAATGGAGGCCCATATATATTTGTGAGCAGGTGAAGCATAGAGCCTATCACTTAGGAAATTCTTCAACCAAAGTGGGCCAATAGTAGTGGGTTCGAAGGAACGAAAGCAGTAGGAAAGAGGAAAAGTTGAAAGTTGGTGGAAGAAAGAGAAGTAAAAAGAAAAAGTAGAAGGATAAAGAGAAGTATTGGCTAGCCTCATGCCATGAGTAGGAGGGTCTAGTTCAAAAAATTTAAGGCACTTGGATTGTAACTCAGGGAAATAAGCAAAAAGCCAAAGCTGAAGGATCCAAATCAGCCCCCCTTGATTGACATCTAAGGGTTTCTCACAAAAAAGAGAGCAAGCTCTATATACGTGACCTAGAACGTATGGAGCTAAAGCCACCCTCTTCTGTAAAATAAGGGCTTTGGTAAGAGGGGCAAATTCAGGCATAATTCTTTGAGAGGAGGTACAAAAAAGGAACTTGCAAAGCCAATATAATAAGAAAGAGAAGAATTCCCTATCGGTCACAAGACCTTCCCTTCTATTCTCAGCCTTGACAAAATTACTATAGGATGAGTTAAGAAAGGGGAGGGAAAAAGGGACTGCTAGGTCAGGATAATCTGGTCCAATGGGAGTTCCAATGGGAGATAATCTTAAAAGATGGCAAATGTCAAGAACAGTAGGGGCCATCATCCCACATCTGAATTGGAAGAAATTAAAAACAGAATTCCAAAAGCACAGAGCAGCAGGCAGCAGGAACTAAAAAGGGGTCCTCTGAAATGGTTAACCTGGATAATCGGAGGGCGTCGAGGAGGCAGAGTTTTTGAAGGTCCAGGGTCCTACTAGGGACAACTCGATCATACCATTCTTGCCACTCCGGTCTCACCGTGGGCCAGCATCTGTGGGGGCGGTTCGTCTTCCAGTTCCTCCAGTCAAGGCCACCTTCGTAAAGGAGACAATGGTTTTCCAGACGAGGGTATAGAGCTGGAAGCTCAATAGGAATCTCCTTGAATATGGGGCCAAGCACATAGTCTTGTTGCACATAACGACGAGGAATGAAGATGCGTCCGTCAATGGCACTTTTCTCCCCAGCTTTGTACTTTTCACATTTTGCATCAATGAGACTTTTTAGGGCTACAGATGGGCTCACACGCTCTTCAACTGGCACTTTCAATGAGGAGGAAGCCCTTGATAGAACGCTTTCTCAAAGGACGAAGCTAGGAAAGGGAGTAGAAAGAAGTGGAAGACGAATAGAGGTAAAGGGTTTGTATGTTGAGCGAGCAAGTGATTTCAGAATGCGGAATAAAAGGGTTTCAAAAGCCTTTGTATCTGAAAGGCACATCGCGTAAATTCGTTAAGTACTAAAAGTACGAATACGAAGAATTTCCTTCAATATTGATACTCTTGGAGGGAAAAACACATCCCAGATGTTGATACCAGCTTCGAAGTAGAATGTTTGGCTTCGAAGCCAAATTTTGGCGCCAAAAGTCAAATAACAACAGCTTCGAAACTAAGAAGCCAGCTTCGAAGCACATTCCATGCTTAAGGATGTAAGAATACTCAAGTATTCATTTACTTCGAAGGGGATCAAAGACCTGCTTTAGGCTTCTTAATGAAAACAATGACCTTCAAAGTGAAACTTGAGACCCTGTGAGGATGGGAATTGGTGTTCAAAGCATAACACACCAGATTTTGGCGCCAAAAGTCCAATAGAAACCGGCTTCGAAGCACATTCCGTACTCAATGGATGCAAGAATGCTCAAGTATTCGTTTACTTCAAATGGATTAAAGACCTGTTTTAGGTTTCTCAATGAAAGTGATGTTCTTCGAAGTAAAACTAGGAATCCCTTAAGAATGGAAATTGGCATTCGAAACATTGAAACCAGTAGTTGGTTTATATATAGTCAGAAAAGTTGTCTTTTTGAACAAAAACAGTGCAGCCCTCAAAAGGAGCTTCCATATTTTTGAAAGTATGGACTGTTGTTCAAGACAAAAAGATTAATTTAAAACTGATTGATCATACTAAATCATTGACCATATGTTGGTTGTGATTGAAACAAATTTTGAAGAGTAAGATTGTTAGATTCGAAGCATGGATCCCAAATGGAAAAACAACAAAAAACTATCTACTATATTCCATAAATTGGAAAAGTTCATGATCGTTTTGTTAATATTCATTTAAAACGATTGAATCCAGGTTCGAAGGAAAAGATTGTTCAGTTCGAAGCTTTGAAATTGCTTTTAAAGACAAATGGAGACAAGATCAAACCATATCAAACAAAGAGAAGTCTTAGTAGTATTAAAGCAAAAGCAGTTACATCGAATGGCCCTATTTGGGTACAAGCTCAAACTCATAAAAATAGGGAATGGAATAAATAACAAGATCATGAAATTTAGTCCAACTATGATCAATGAATTTCTGTTCTTTCTTTATTCTGTCCTCTATTTCTTCTAACATTGGCTGCATGAGTTGATGTGCTCTCACTTCATAAAAGAGCTCTTTAGCCTTTATTTCGAAAGTTGTTTCTCTCAATCCTTGTTCCAATTCGTCCATATCCAAGTCATCCCAGTATGCAGAATCTTTATTCTTGAAATCATCGAATTCTTCAATAAAGTTTTCTGCTTCGTATTGGGCATGAATTCGAAGGGATGAAAGTTGGTCTAAAGATTGTGTGGTGGTCATAGATGTCCGATGCCAGTGGAGAAGCAATGGAAGTTGGTCCAAAAACATGTGAAGCTCTACTTGGGCGAGGGGGTTGAGGACGTGACCCCGAGTCAGAATATCACAAGCCTATCGAAGGTTCTTCAGAGGGACTTCGTCCTCAAGAACATTGAAGGGCAATTGGGAGAAAGCCGCGAGCAAAAGTTGAGCTTGCTTCCGCTCAGCCGGAATAGGGGAAGGTGGAGGTTTGTAAAGTGGAAAGGCCTTATCCGAGGAAAGGGCAAGCCTCAGTTTCGCTGTCCAGCAAGGACTTGGCGGAAGAGAAGGTGTGGATGCTTCAATCTCAAGAGGTGAAGAAAGGGCAGAAGGAACAAAGGCATTGATATAATCGAGCCAGTCAGAAGAACAAATCTTCGCCTTCTGGGCTAAGAATGATGGATTGTACCCTTGTGCCTCTTCTAGGCATCGGGCGACATGCACTGTCTTTGTAGGCATGGAAGAAGTATACCATGCCACAAGCAGATTCTCCTCCAAACTGCGTCGGTGATCAATGGGCACGTAAGGATAGACCACCGAGCTTCACGCATAGGAAGGGAATTCTAAAGGGTCAATAAACTCAACAAAGTGATGGTTGATTCGCTCCCTTAAATCACAGGCCTCGGGTTTTGACCAGTTTGTCCAGTCAGAAGCCCCATAAGAGGAAGAAGTTGCAGCCTTATCCCATGCAGAGGGCTGTGAAGGAAAACTTCCCATGTCCATATTTGCAACTTTCTGAATCAAAGTATTGAAAGCAGTTTGTTCGTAGTCTGAGGATAAGTCAGAAAAGGACCTTCCCATGTCCATATTTGTAAGTTTTTGAATCGAAGCATTAAGGGCAATATGTTCGAAGTTCAAGGGTTGGTAATCTGCAAAGGCATCCATGACCTGAATATAGAAAGGTAGGTAAAGGTGGCCAATTAATGCATGAAGGTTCTTTCGAGGAGGAACAACATCATCATATGACTCTTTATGTGCTCGATCAATGAAGGAGGTAATTGATTCGGCCATAAAAAGTGTACCAGTCTGTTCAAATACTAAGGTGGTAGAGGTGTTCAAAAGATTGAAGGGGAGTTTAATGCAGATGATAAATGGCAATTGCATTTCTGGAAACCATGCACGTTCTAAGACGTGAGAAAGGACTTTGATCCACTAATATCACCAAGCATTGGGTATATTAGTGCGGGGAGTAATGTTGGCTACATAATTTGTACAAACCAATTACAATTCGACACGTGGCAAAATAAAGGTAATATAGGAAGACTATTCAGGTCCTCGATCCTGATCGTACACGTGGCAGTTAGTATTGGTTATTAAGAGATCTGAGTAGCAGCGGATCAACAAAGAGATACAAAGTGACGTGGCCTCAACGGTTACTTGCATTTCAGATTCAAATTTAGGAGGAAAGCTTAATTGCAAGTAATGGCGTAATGGAGCTAATATTGGGGCAAAATGATCGATGATCATGAAGGAGCAGTTCGACGGTTGGAAATGCAATTCGATGGTCATCCTGGAGCAATATAGATAGTAGAGAAGGCCCCAGAAAAAGCGCCCCAGACTCAGATCCAAAAAACCAATCCTTTATACTTATTTTCCTTTCCAGCTTTACATTTACGATTTTTTTTTACATTTACAGTTCTTTACATTAATGTACTTTAAAATTCCTGCACTGCACTTCGTTTCATAGGAGTAGTTCCAAGTAGAGTTGCTGTAAACCTCTACGAGACTGAGTTTGGATCATTGTAAGTCTTTTCATCTTAATGAAATACTTCGACTATTTTTCAATTCATTGTTATCTGTTTAATTCTCCAAAATCAAGCCACCAGTAAAAGTTCTCTTCATTGAGGTGAAAGAACTAAAACACAATCGTCTGATAATTGGTTGGCAATTAATTTTCTGTAAGGACTAATTGATCCTTACTAGCACACTTGCAATTACAACAATAACCTTCGGAAGCCAAAAAGCCAACAGTAGTGTGGTAAAGTCCATGATAGCATTTGGAGGTGTATATGTGTATATTACAGATGCATATATATGCTCTAATACTGTGATGTAAACCTTACAAGCTAACAATAAGGATTCAAATGTAATGCAGTCGAGTAGAGATTGACATGACAGCCAGCATTTTTCCAAAGGAGAACATTCAGTTCTTCTTATCACAAACAAACAGAAAATTATAACATGCTCACCAATTCCATACCAGGATCACTTATGCCTGGTGTTCCTGCATCACTGATTTGGGCCACAATTTCACCCTGTTGCAATCTCTTCAGAACTGCTTGTTCTCTTTGAGACTCATTGAATTTATGATAACTTAGCTGAAAATCTAAAGCTTACCATTAGAAAGAATACATAAAAAAAGCAAGAAATCATTGTTGCGATGAATGCACAGAAGCTGCAATAAGAAACTCACAAGAGGGGTTTTGATGTTGTAATGCTGAAGTAACTTCCCCGAATGCCTCGTATCTTCAGAAAGTATCACATCAGCTGATCTTAACACACGCAGAGCTCTGCATCAACGAAATCACGAAACGATTACACGAAAATTACTCTTCTTTAGTTCAAATAAATAAATAAATAGATATATGAAATTGATTTCTATATCAAGTAGTTACCTTAAAGTGATATCTTCAAGGTTCCCAATTGGAGTTCCTACAAGATACAATCCAGGTATCAAAGGGCTCTGCAAGATTCAACATGCTATATGAGTGTAACATTTGTGTTAAGGCATTGAAGTCATTAAATCCCCTGGAATATAGAATCAGATTCTTCCAATTGTTCAACTTTGTTTGGTTATCAAGAAACCAAAGTAATGTGCAACAACTTGTTCTAAATCATTTTTTCTTTCAAGCTTTCCGAGTAAATGGATGATGGAAGGAAAATTTTGAGAACTTACTTGTTTTGAGGAATGTTGGGGGCATAGGTCGGCGGGTTCGGTGGAGTTGGAACAAAAGGAGAGAGCGGTGTTGTTGCATCTAGGGTTAGGAGTGTGAAGAGTGATTGTCGTTGTAGTGGTGGTGGTGATGAACACTTTGCTTGGTCGCATAGACCGCCATGGAAGAACCTTGAAAATAGATACAGATAGTGATGATGATACCGCCATTGATGAATGAAAGCGGCGCATCAACATCGCAGCTCCCCACTCCCCACTGGAAACTTTCCGCAATTAGTTCCCTTTTATTCGTTGTATAAAAAAGTTTTGGGTAAATTACAAATTCACCGCCGAAGTTTGTTAAAAATACGAATTATCTCTGTAATTTGAAAAATTTTAAATACTTCTTTGTTAAAATATTTTATTTAAAAAAATTAATTGAAAAAGAAAAATTTCTAACTACACCTATAATAATAAAATTATCTGAATTATTAATTGAAATAAAATTTTAACATTATTAAAAACTGTTAATTAACTTGATGATTTATTAATAAAATGACCTATTTGTTATGAAATTAGAAACCTTATGAGGCATAATGTAATTTCTAGAACCATAAAGGTTAATTTATAATTTAAGTAAAGTTCAAGGGATGTGTTTGTAATTTACCCAAAAAAAATTTTATTTATTTTTGTTGAGAAACTTACCAATAAGTCTCATATACAAAGTTCAAAATCCATATATTCCAAAATAAAACACTTGCACCAATTAGTCATATATATTTTTAATTGTTACCAAAAAAATTCTATTTTTTTTAAAAAAAAAATTTACAAACGCTGTAACATCTTACTACTGTCGGACTTCCGTCAGACAGTCATCAGAAACTCGCCAAAATATTCAACATCACCGGGAGGTCGCCGGAGTATCGCTGGAAGTCGTCGAAGATCGCCAGAAGTTCATAGAAGTGTTATAAATGTCAATAAAAGTCGTCGGAATGTCTAAAGCATTCGCTGGACGTTAAGAACATTATTGAAGACTGTCTAGAATATTGCTGGAAAAAAAAAAGAATAAATAGAGAAATTAGAGTGAAAAAACATAGCAAAATGTGTTAAATATTGATAAACTAAAAGGAAAAAAAATGTAACGACAAAAAACAGCAACAATATAGCTCCGATTCAGACATCTAATTTAGAGGCTCTAAACGAAGCTCTAAACATGTGGCACCCAACCACGGACGGTGAAGGATAGTTGCACATACAGTGCGTGTGTTTCACGCACTGTGTTAAGAAAAAAAAAATTGAAATCCCGCGCATATGAGGCTTACATCAGTAAAACAGATGTATTACAACTCTATTCTAAATCTATCTCTCCTCCGCCGTCCATCGCCTTCACCGTACGGCGTCTTGTCCCTCATCCACCGTCTAGCGTTCAGTGTCTCCTTCTTCGTCTCTGTCTTGTTCTCTCTTTGAGGCTTCATTCTCTCGCGTTGAAAGCATTTGCAGATCTGTCCACTACCTCTCCTCCACCGACCGCCGTCTTTTCCGTCTCTGATCTTCGTCCCTCTATCGCTGTGAAAGCATTACCAGGTCAGTGATGCTCTACTCTAAACATGTAATCGATCAGTGATGTTGTCCTGTATATACATTTATATATGTAATTTTTTTAATCAGTGATACTGGATTGATATGTATATATATATATATATATACATAAACTGGAATTAGAGCATACTTTGTATAAAACATTTTAGATAAACATTTGAGCATGAATTGGAATTTGGCTCTCAAAATAAATATATACATAAAATGGAATGATGAATTGATAAATTTATAAATGTAGAAGTGAGTGCTGAATCCATTATACTAGAATTGATTTCAATGCACATATATACTAGAACATTCAGAAAAGCTACTACAAAGCATAAATGATGGAATGATGAATGATGAATTTATAACTCTGTAAATAGAATATGGAATGATGAATGATGAATTTATAAATTTATAGTTAATCATATTGATGAAAATTTTGATATGTTTGATTGTAATTGAATTTAAGTGTTTTGATTGCAGTATAAAATTTGAATGAGTAGAAATGAAGATTCAATCAAATAGTGGTAAGAATCCTTCAGCTTTTGATAGTGAAGAAATTGAGGAACCTAAGAGGGGTATGTATTTTAGCTCAAAGCAAGAAGTGTACACATTTTATGCCAAATATGCCAAACATGTTGGATTTTCTATAGCTTATAAAACACAAGTTTTTGGCGATAATGGAGAATTAAGATACTTTGGGATTGAATGTTCTCAATTGGGGAAGAGAATAAAAAAATTAGAAGTGAACCCTCTAAAGCCATCTCTTTCCACAAAAATTGATTGTAAAGCAAGGGGTACGAGGGAGCCTACAAAAGGATGGGAGATTTATGTTAACAACAGTTAACCTTGACCATAATCATGACTTGATTCCCACCGACTCACGTCATTTTGCAATGAATAAGAAAATTCTTACTCCTGTGAAGAGAAGATTAGAAATTAATGATCAAGCAGGGATTGGGGTGTCTAGAAATTATCACTAAATGGTTGTTAAAGCTGGGGGTTATGAGTCATTAACATTTGATGAACGAGATGCACGAAATTACATTAATAGAGCTAGAAAGTTGGGGCTTGGAGAAGGAGATTCCGATGCACTTCGAAAATATTTTTTGAGAATACATGCACAAAATTCGAGTTTCTATTATATGATTGATGTTGATACTGACTTTCGCATAAGAAACTTGTTTTGGGCGGATGCAATGAGTCGGGCGGCTTATAAAGAATTTGGAGATGTTGTTTCATTTGACACAACTTACCTCACTAATAAATATGATATGCCATTTGCTCCGTTTGTAGGAGTTAACCATCATGGACAGTCGATTTTGCTTGGTTGTGGGTTGTTATCTAATGAAGACACTGATACATTTGTTTGGCTATTCAAATCATGGTTAAATTGCATGTCAGATCATCCTCCAAAAGCTATAATAACTTATCAGTGCAAAGCTATGCAGAATGCTATAGAAATAGTCTTCCCCAATACTCGACATCAATGGTGTTTATGGTATATCATGAAGAAGATTCCGGAGAAATTGAAAGGCTATTCCCAATATGAATCCATGAAGATGGATTTGCAAAATGCAGTGTATGACACTTTCACAAAAGATGAATTTGAGATGAAATGGAAAGAGATGATTGCAAAATTCAATCTTTATGAGAATCAGTGGCTGGGGGTGTTATATGATGAGTGGCATCAATGGGTTCCTGTCTATGTCAAAGATATTTTTTGGGCTGGCATGTCAACGACACAACGAAGTGAGAGCATGAATGCCTTTTTTGATGGATATGTTAACCCAAAGACTACATTAAAAGAATTTGTTGAACAATATGACAATGCCTTGAGAAGTAAGGTAGAGAAAGAGAAGAAAGCTGACTTCAAGTCTCGACACAAAGTCTTTGATTGCCTAACTGTGTATGGTTTTGAGAAACGATTTCAGGATGCGTACACCAATGCAAAATTCAAAGAAGTTCAAGCAGAGATGAAGAGACTAGTTTATTGTAAGCTGTTTCTTGTGAAAGATGGGGGTTCAATTTGTATATATTTTGTAAAGGAAGCCATGGAAGTTTTTGGGAAGATGAAGCATGTGGACTTTGTTGTCTATTATAATTCGACAGAATTTGATGTGCATTGTATGTGCCGGTTGTTTGAATTTAAGGGCATCATGTGTGCTCACACACTCGTTGTGCTCATTGCAAGATGCATAAATGAGGTTTCAAATAAATACATTCTACCACGATGGAGAAAAGATTTGAATAGAGGGTACACATGCATAAAAACCACATACACTGGCTTTGGGGATGATTTCAATGCAAAGGTGTATGATAAGATGAACAGAAAATTGATTTGCATTGTGCAATTTGCTGGAAACTCTGAAGGGAAAATAAAGCTTATTGACCGTGGATTGGATGAAATCAAGGCAAAAGTGATGAAAGATGATGAAGGTGGTGGGAGTAATGTAGCACCTTCGACTAGTAATGTACCACCTATTACTAGTAATGTCCCATCTTCCCCGATTGACAGCATTAATAGAAAGGCAATCAGTCATACCAAGTTGCTTAGTCCTTTGGTTGCTCGCCGAAAAGGTCGTCCAGTTACTAAAAGAAAGGTCACCAAAGTAGATCAAATAGTCAATCGGTTGAAGGCAAGCAAAAGAAAACATAATAAATCAAAGGTAAATTGATTGGTATTCATACATATCCATCTGTTTTGTATCATTACTCTCTATTCAACTCATATTTTATTGTAATCATGTCATACATTTGAGGCATTCATTAACCTTTACCAATATAGGGTATGAAGGTGCTTAGAGGTGAATGTGAAGATCAATTTCAATCTCAACCTGAACGTAGTGCATGTAGAGAGCTTTATCCTTATATGGTTGGCATGGAAAATAGTATGCATGTGTCGGTATGTGTACAGCATAGGAATTTACATTGAACAATTTATGTTATTTTGGAATAATGTTTAGTAAACTGTTTTTAACATTTCATTTTAATTGAATAGGGACACATGGTCAATGCTATTGGAGGCACATCTCTCACCCCGACAAGTGTGGACATTATGAGAAGACAAAGTTTCATGAATGCCCCAACTCAGAGTTATGGAATCGACACATCGCTTACCCCGTCGGACTGTATTGGAGGCACACCGGGATTTATGAGAACTCAACAATCCATGACTGCTACGCATCAAATTTATGGAGCCATACCATCTTCATCTGTTGAGTTAAATGTACAAATGGACCGCAATGACCGTGGTAGTAGTTTTCGTTAGTTGGGAACTTGTAATTGTAATGCTTTTTATGTGACTAAACTTGGAGTTTATTTTGTTTTGGATAATTTATTTAATGTATTATTGGATTGTTCAGTTTCTTTATTTTTTGGTTGAGAACAAATTGATGTTGTTCCCTACTTTGTTGTTATATCTAATGTTCCCAATTGATGTTGTTATATTTGTGCTCTATCTGTTACGACTTTGTCTTCAAGAGTATGTGAAAAAATCTGTCTCCAAGACTATGTGAAAAAAACCTGTCTTCAAATCTATTTTGAAAAACCTATGTGAAAAAATATGTCTTCAAAACTGTGTGAAAAACCAGTGCTCAAAAACTGTGTTCAAAAACTGTGTTAAAAAACCTGTGTGAAAAAATATGTCTTAAAATATGTCTTCAAAAACCTGTGTGAAAAATAGATAAACAGAATCTGTGT